TAAGTATTTGCTATTGACTGTTCAAATGCGGAGTTTTGCGCATCGTGTGTGAGAGAGAGAGAGACTTGACTTTTATGGTCTCTTTATTACAAAAAGTTTAAAAATTTAGATTGACATCAAAGGAGAAAAAAAAAAGAGAAAAAATAAATAAATAAAAAAAATAAAATAAAAAAAATCAGTTTTTGGTGCAAGTTTATAAAACAAACATTACTCAAATATAAATTTGCAAACCTTCATCAGAGTCAACTTCACAAATGCATTGATTAACTTCCCATTTATATTTGAACATCTGCAGATCATTTATCACCTTATAATAACTATACTCTATACTAATACGGGATTTTATTAATCCCTTCAATATTGAAATAGCATCAGTTGATCCTTTATCATTCAATTTACTTTTTCTTGACAACCATATAGCCATCTTTGCTTGCCCAAATAAGAAGTTTAGTAGAGCTCCTCCAGACGTGTGATTGTGAGGAACCGGTGCATGCTGACACCATTCTCTATCAGGAGCTTAACAAACTCCACACGGTCCATCACCAACGCATCCAACATCGCCTGCTCGAGGGAGCCCACCTACACACACACACACACACACTAACTTTAATACTTTCTAATCACTGTAACACTGAGTGTTGAACTCAGAGCCCAGAACTGTCATTCACATTGCTTCTAATCTTAGAGACAATTCACCCAATAATCATCAACAAAACTAAATATTTTGAAGAAAGTCCTTTTTTTTGTCAATACAATGAGTATCAATGGGGTCAATGAAAGTCAGTGGGGTCCAATATTTTTTGGTTCCCAACATTCTTCAAAATATCTTTTGTTTTTGACAGAAGAATGTCACAGGTTCAGAACAACATGAGGGAGAATAAGTGATGACAATGATGATTTCTAGGTGAACTATCACTTTAAAAGTGAACATAAGTCTCTCCTGCTTCACTTTTGTTGGTCATATTATTTTTCAATAGTAATATATTACGGTCACATTTCCTTGATGTTCATCAAGTTTACAGAATATGTACACATGGTACGTTTAAGCATCATGATATTTGTTAGTGTATCAGAATGTGCTGAGAGGTCAGTAGGTCACAGAGTGTGTGTGTGTGTGTTCACTACAAACACAACAACTGTTTCTCTCTGTGTTTATCAGCACACACGGGTACAAACCAGCAGCTGTTGTCCGTAAACAAACACGTGATCTTTAGCGATGTCCACCCGATCCCACGCCAGCGTCAGGACCAGCTGATCGAAGGCCGACGCGTTCGTGCCTGTGAACCCACACACACACACACACACACACACACACACGAGATGATGTCAGAGGAGACGTGACGAAGTTTAGACTTTGATAAAGTGTTTCTTCTCAAACCGCAGTAAATGTTTGAGCATCTGAACATGCTTAACCTGCAGCAACCCCAGCAGTCAGCCTGTGCGTGTCTGTGTGTGAGACAGAGAGAGAGTGTGTGTGTCTGTGTCTGTGTGAGAGAGAGAGAGTGAGTGTGTGTTGGTTGCTGCTATACCAGCTTCACAGGTTTTACATGACACATACAGATTCAACAGATACATTTTATAAAATTTAGCTTAAAATAAAAAGACTAAATTCTGTATATACAATTCTATAAAAACATTCTTTGAAATACTGTAAAAGTTTATCTGGATCCATCTTCCAAAACAAACCAATATCATGTGTCTGTGTGATGGAGGTTCAGGAGATGATGGTCTGATTTGGTTCATTTGCAGCAGAAATGCCTGGATCAAACACACTCACACACACACAGAGAGATGATGAGGGTCGTTCCACTGACCTTTGAGCAGAGCTTTCAGGATGGCCACATCGATGTCCTGATGGTCCTCCGAGCCCACAGGAAACACTGTGATCTGAAACACACACACGAGGGTCAAACACTGATGGGACCTGCTGCATGTGTGTGTCTCTCATAAACCGCAGCTTATTGACCAAATACTGAGTGAGTGAGTGTGTGTGTGTGTGTGTGTGTGAGAGTGTGTGAGAGTGTGTGTGTGTGTGAGAGTGTGTGTGTGTGTGTGAGAGAGTGAGGGAGTGAGTGAGTGAGAGAGTGAGTGTGTGAGAGAGTGTGAGAGAGAGACAGAGAGAGAGAGAG